ATTTTGTGTGGGCTACCGAAAGTTGAATGATGTCACCAAGAAAGACAGCTATCCGCTCCCAAGAATCGACGACACATTGGACACATTAGCCGGGACGTCATGGTTCTCCACCCTCGACCTGCAGAGTGGGTACTGGCAAGTAGAGATCGCCGAGAAAGATAAAGAGAAAACAGCGTTTGGCTTTAATGGGGGTCTCTGGCAGTTCAATGTCATGCCATTCGGACTCTGCAACGCCCCGGCTACATTTGAAAGGCTTATGGAGCGTGTGTTAAAAGGGCTGCAGTGGAAATCGTGCCTCATATACCTGGATGACATCATAGTCATGGGACGCAACTTCGACGAACACATCAAGAACTTAAGGGAAAGCTGCTGTAGATTTCGTCTTCAGGCCTCAAGTTAAACCCAAAGAAGTGCAGTCTCTTCCAACGAGAGGTGAAGTTCCTGGGGCACCACGTGACGCCGGAGGGCATATCGACGGATCAGGAGAAAATTCAAGCCGTCAGAGATTGGCCGCAGCCCCGAAATCTCCATGAGCTGCGAAGCTTTCTGGGTCTCTGCACCTACTACCGTCGCTTTGTCCCAAATTTTGCCAACATCGCCGCCTGTCTACACCGCTTGACGCAAAAAGGCCAGAGGTTTCAGTGGGACAACGACCAAGAAGAGGCGTTCAGTAAACTCAAAGACATGCTATGCAGAGCCCCCATTTTGGCATACCCTATACCTGGCGGAAAGTTTGTTCTGGACACAGACGCAAGTGCGTGCGGCATCGGTGGCGTCCTTTCCCAGGAAATCGACGGACAGGAAAAAGTCATCGGGTACTACAGCCGGACATTGTCGAAACCTGAGAGGAATTACTGTGTGACGAGAAGAGAGCTGCTTGCTGTCCTTGAGTGTGTTAAACACTCCCACAAATACCTATATGGCCAGCATTTCCTGCTGAGGACCGACCACGCTGCTCTCCAATGGTTGCTGCAGTTTAAGAATCCGGAAGGTCAACTAGCCCGTTGGATCGAGAGGCTCCAGAGTTATGACTTCAGAATCGAGCACCGAAAAAGCGGAAAGCACGGTAATGCTGATGCCCTGTCTCGTCGGCCATGCAAGGTAGAATGCAGGCATTGCTCAAAGACTGAGAATAAAGAAAATATCGTTGATGTCCGACTATTGCAGTTTGAGTCGGGTGAAGATTGGTCGACGGAACAACGAAGAGATCCCATTCTGGGCAAAATAATTTCGGCCATAGAAACGGGCAAGCGACCTAGTCGCAAAGAAATTACCTCCGAAAGCCCTATTTTAAAATCCTATTGGGCCCAGTGGGACAGTTGCTTATACCGCAAATGGGAAAGTGAGGACGGTAAATCTCACCGGAACTTGATCGTCGTCCCTGACTCCAAAATAAGAGATGTCTTGTCGGAGTTTCACGATGGGCCAAGTGGAGGACATCTTGGCATAACAAAGACCGCTGAAAAGGTAAAGCAGAGATTCTACTGGGTCGGCTGTCAAAAATCCATTGCCGACTGGATCGCCAATTGTGAAAGGTGTATAAGAGCTAAAGGTCCAACACGGAAGAGTCGAGGCTACATGCAGCAGTATAATTCAGGAGCCCCTTTTGAAAGAATCGCAATGGATGTAGCTGGACCGTTCCCAACAAGCGACTCTGGGAACCGGTATGTCTTAGTGGTCATGGATTACTTCAGCAAATGGCCAGAGGTTTATGCTATCCCAAATCAAGAAGCCAGGACAATTGTGGATGTGTTCAGCAAAAATTGGATTTGTCGCTATGGTGTTCCATCTGAGGTTCATTCCGATCAAGGTAGGAATTTTGAATCAGCGATCTTCAAGGAAATGTGTGACTCCTACGGAATCAAGAAAACCAGAACGACGCCCCTACATCCACAATCAGATGGTATGGTGGAAAGATTCAATCGCACCCTAGAAGAACATCTACGGAAAGTGGTGGACAGTGGCCAACGAGACTGGGATGAGCATATTCCGAAGTTTTTACTGGCTTATAGATCGGCCATTCATGATTCTACATCCCGGACCCCAGCCAAAGTTCTGTTCGGAAATGAATTAAAGCTACCTGGCGATTTGATATTCGGTGCTACCCCAAACGACGATGTGAACCAAGATGAAGACAGTCAAAACTCTTTTAGTAAAGTCCACGATGCAGTTCGCCATCGAATAAAAATGGTTAGCAACCGCATGAAGGCAAGGTACGATCGAGCGGCAAATACCGATGGGTTTCAAGAAGGGCAACTGGTACTATTGTTCAACCCACAACGTAAGAAAGGACTTTGCCCCAAATTGCAAACGCACTGGGAAGGACCCTACAAGATTGTCACGAAAATAAATGACGTCGTTTATCGCATCCAGAGGAGCGACAGTCCCAGGTCGAAGATGAAAGTTGTACATTTGGAGCGGCTGACCCCCTACGGAACGGGAACTGTGCCTATTCGGGACGAACAGGCTTAAGCGGGGGGCAATGTTACGAATATAAATTTAGATTTAAGTTAATTTAGATGAATTCCGTTAATTTAAGAATTTGAATTGTAACGTAAATTTCTACTACGCAGTTTATTTGAATAACTTCACAACAACAACTACTGTATAGATTTTTCTACATCCTTCCATTTCCTCTTTAATTGTCTATTTTTTTGTTGACGTACAATTCTTGTTAAACGTCATCATTGATGATCGCTTAATTCCTCTTTCTTTGTTACCCCCCTCGCCTGTATATGTGTTGTTGTTATTGTTTACTCAATGTAAGTTTGTATGTGTTGTTGTTATTGTTTACTCAATGAAAGTTTGTTTGTGTTGTTGTTATTGTTCGCTCAATGTAAGTTTGTATGTGTTGTTGCATTGGTAGATTGTTTGTAATCTAGGCGTTACCAGATCGTCTAGAAACTTCTGTAGCGACAGGCAAGGCTCATATAAATAGAGGAAATGGAAAGGCAGTTAGTGAGTTGTGAATCAGATCGCGAATTGAAACCGTCAAGTAACGTAAAGCTGTAAAGTAACGTGCAAAGTAAAGTGTGTCAATAAACTCATTGTAATAATCGTAATCAGAACGAACCCGCGTTTTATTTGGTACGAACTGTATCGGGAAATAAAACAACGTCTACACGGGAATAAGTAAAGTCCAAGAACGTAACAATATTAAGGTCTGTCATGTTTACATCACCATCATTTATTATTCGCATTATATAAGGTATATGCTTTTTACAAAGTTTTAACCAACTGTGGGAGGTTGGCCTAGTCACCCCATCTTCGGATGTAATGTTAGTTTGATAAAATATTGAGATGTGCAATTAATCGATCCCTTGATCTAGTAGCGGTTAGTAGTACTTAAATTTCTGACGACGGTATTTATTTCTTGTGGAAATCTGTTTTCCGGAGATATGAGCCTCTGAAGTTCCGCTTGGACCCTTGTATTTTCTCATGATTTTTGAAATTCACTAGTGGAATATTTGTATAATTTCAATGCGTTTTAAATTCTGATTACAAAAATTTAATTTTCTTATATAAGAAGTCCATATTTCCTATGATATGTGCCTCCAAAATTCATCGGATTCCCTTTAAAATTTCTTAACACAATATGGGTATCAATTAAAAGCGGCAGAAGTGGAAGTTGCTAAAATATACTTATCTTATCAAAAAAGTCATATGTAGACCCCTATTTTAGATATATTGGACTTTTTCGATAAGAATACGTTATTATAATCAGGACTTCAAATGCATTTAATTGACACCCATATTGCCCAAGCGAATTTGAAAAATCCGAGCTGATCTTTGAAGGCCAATATTTCCAGAAATGCGAATTTCGGCAAGAAAAGAACACCGTCGTAATGGGGGATCCGCTGGATAAGCAAGAAAATTAGTTTAGTTTAAAGAATACGTTACTGTCATTGTAGAGGTCACTTCATTCAAATACTATTAGTCCATTGTGTGAACTAGGAATATTGACTTCGCTCAAAAATTCACAAAATGGCGGGCCTATGAAAAAATATTTTTGGAAAATCGCCTATTTTTTACCTCTAACCAAGTTGAAAAATAAGGAAGATCTTCACCGATTGATTTTATCCTAGTACATACGATAGCTATACACTCACGGAGAAACGTCCCAAAATTTTGAATCGATATGGCACTAGAGTCGACAGCTGTGTTTCTAAAGTATCAAAGAGTCTACCTCCGGCTTATCATCTAATGCTGGAGTGAGTATGAACAATTTCAGGCTTTAAAATTTGTCATTGGCCCCTGTTGAGCAGAGGGTAACATACCTATAACCGTGATATAAAAATTATAGAGCGCATGCGGAGAAGACATCGAAACGTTGTAATATTTCCTATGCTGATACCCGGCTTTTACGAACCTTTGAGAAAAATCCTTGGGAAATTAATCAACGCACGACTTAAATAACATGAGGAGGAGATGAGACAAATCTCAAAGAGTTTCTTTCTTTTTCCTATTTAGAACGCCGAACAGGCATTGGTTGGCTTTAATGTATGTTCACGACGTACATTAAGTAAACGACCCTCTTTTCAACCTAACCTAAAATGTTATAAATATAGATGTAATGCCTTTTCACACTGTTTTTTTATGGTAACATAATTTAATTAAAAAGATACACAATGCCTATTTTTTATTTCAACTTTTATTAAATAATATAATAATAGTTTTTCTATATATTTTTTACTATATACTGCTATATGGGCGGGTTTACTTTGTCTCGATGTTTATTTGGCGGAATGAAAAATTGAACATGTGCAGATGATTAACAATTTTAATATACATTTTAAATTACATACTAAAATACATACAAGTATGAATTCTATTACTTCATATTACAAATTAATTCATATCTCATTAGGACATTGTAAAGTGTTGTTTCATTTGAACATTTCGTCTGGAGAGAGAGAGAGAGAATACACAAAAAGTGTAGAATTGTACATAAAACAATTCAATTGGGGTATATTAAATATAAATAATTAATTTCTCTGAAATTAACTCAATGACGGTTCCATTGGATTATATTCACCCTTGTGAACCTTTTCTTGACTTTCAGTCCAAGCCTTGGCAATCATTTGTTTGGTCTTCGAATCACCCTGGTTGTACATTTTCTTCATGATATTAACCAAGGCATCTGAAGGATTTTCACTGCATTGTTTCAGCTCGGAGTCGGCCTGATCTTTGAGACGTTTCTCGATTGATGTCAAGCAGGCCCAGTGCTGACCTTCCAATTTTTTCTTCAGATAAATTATGATCATGCCAGTCTTAATCTTGCGATAGCTCTTGGGTATGTCAATGGGATGCAGTAAATTGTTTACAATCAGCACATAATCCTTGCCATTGAAATTGTTGACATTCAGGTTCATTGAATTGTCGGTGAAATTAACAACTACGTCTGATTCATCGATATTTTGGATGCCCTCCAATGTTACAAATAGTTTGACAAATTTCTCACTTTGATCCCATCCGTATTCATTTAGTTCGACATAGAATCTGTGCAAAAGATAAAGAAAAAAAAAACGATAAAAACAACAATGACCAAAAATGTAAACAAAACAAAGAAGGAACACGTTATGGTCAACCAGAACGGCGTCAAACAATAAAATGTGAAGAGAACGTTCTAGATGACCAGAGGGGTTAGGGCAGGGAATGGAAGTCATAATGCAAATGTGGGCTTACCTTTTTGGTCCGGTTTCTTTACGTTCTGCCGCCTGTTTTTCCTTCATTTCCAAATTCACAATTTCCCGATCCAATTCAGCTTTGGCCCTAACCAAGGCATCTTTAACTCTCTTCCTAGTTGCCTCGGCCAATAGCTTGGTGAATTCCTCGGCATCTTTTCTTAACTATGGAAAAAAGGTGCAAGAATTGTTATTAAATTAATTAAAAACAATAGGGGATATTTAAATGTGCAATAATTACCTCTTCAGCAGTTGACATGTTTGCAAGAAATCGATTTTTTATTAGTTTAGCAGCTCACTTGTGATTTTGCCTCTTGAAATGTTTTTATAAAACTGACTGATGTCTTGATGTTTGTTTGAATATTCGCGATGTTTCGTTCCGTACTGTCAAATAAAACTAGAGTTGTGTAAATCGACTTTCGACCAATCAACAATGGGAGTCTATTTTACACTACAACTGGGAAAGTCTATTTTACACCCAAACGGATGAAATCATTTAAAAGGAATAATAATACCAAATATAGATGGCGCTACACACGAGACATTTTCAAACAATTATAATTTAGAACTGTTTGTCAATGTAAGGCGAATTAAAAGGGCAAATTTGACTACAACAATTAATAAATGTTATTTTTAAGGTGACCAGATTTTGGAAATGAAAATATATGACATCAAACATCAACAATTTACCTTTTTTAGAAACAAAAAAATAATCATGATATAAATAAATATATTGTTCTGATCACGAACCTGCAAGAATTTTGAACTATTCGAAATAGTGACTTGAAAAGCTTTACCACTTTTGAATACGGGAAATACTAAATTTATATAAAAATCATGCCATGACATGTATAAAAACATACATTTTACTTATTTATAAATATTTAAAGGTAGTACAAAATAACGAAATTTAAAAACATTTTGTAATTTCGCAATATTTTTATATATTTTTTATCACTATTGTACAAGATTCGTAAAACCTTGACGCTATTTATAATTAAAAACAATTTCGACTAATCGTTAAATGTTTCAATGTAAAAAAATCGTACTCATAAAGTTCACTTTAAGAAAATATGTAAACAATTTGGAGTTCAGAGTGATTGAAGATGACAGATTATGGAAATAGATGACATACATTTTATAGACGACAGTCAGTTAAAATAGATGATTGTCCTCTAAGAAAGAAGACGTATGATCACCTTATGATATTTGACCAATCCTACATAGGCATATGTTGTTCGGTGGACAGCAATCGATGAAAATTTGTGCACTGTCTAGATATATGTACGACAATGCGGACAACACCGATTGGGTCCAATAGATATTCAAGAAAAAAATAAGAAACTGCCATCGTAGCTTCAAGACCAAAAATAGAAGGAGATGTAGTAGATGACTGAAATTTTGTACAGGTGCTTATTATTGGCCTCCCACATATTGGGTCTTTAAAATTCCATATGTGAATATTCAGCCAAATTCGATGGAAATTGGCAGCTCACTTCTAATTTGGCCTAAAACGCAAGTAAAAAACTTTATAGATTCGACCAAGATTTATTATACCTCCCATATAATGGGTCTTGAAAATGTAACTCTTTTGGCATATAAGATCGTTTCTATTCAATTAACTTCGATAAAAATTTGCAGTTCACTTCTAATTTGGACACAGGCAGTAATAAGTATTATAAATTTGCTTTTCGTCTAAGTTTCGGAATACTCCACATACAAGGTCCCTGTAGCCCTAAAAAAGTACAAATATATATTCAATTCAACTCTATAAATTTTTTTTTAATTAATAAAACAAAAACTTTGATATACTTTATTCAATACATATATTACTGATCTATCATTCATCAGATTCTTTTTTAAACATACTGAATAAAATCTTTATTTGAATAGACTCTGCCAATTTTTCAGGTTGCTCCTAATTAATTTGTGGCATGACTCGATAGTGTCACCCAAAGGTGAACTTAAATTTTTCTGTATTTACAATTTTCCTAAAGAAGTTTCCAAAAAATTCGCTAAATAAGTATCATTTTCCAAAAAAATAGGTGAAAAATTGAGATTGCCAACAAATTTGAGATTGGAATCCTTTTATAGACAAAACTACTTGACGTAGCAAAACAAAAATTCTCATTTCGCTCATCTTCTGTGTGACCGGCATAAATCACAAATCGTGATTTTTGATGTAATCATGCAAAATTGTTTCGCTTTATCAGACTTCATGTTGTGTAAAAAAGTTCTAGAAGTTCCTCAGTTTCTTGTAAGTTGTGAGTCGATTGAAAACTTAAAACTTAAAATCGATTTTTTATGCCGGTCTTGCAATTGAATTCTTATCTATTTATTCTTATCAATAAAGGTATTTGGTTTTTACCATTTTTTGACGCGATCAAGACACCACACAAAAATATACAATCAGATTCTCCATCAATTCTTTTGAGCCTGACCAAATTCCTAAAACAAGAGTATTTATTCTTAACACTAGCACAAATACCCTTTGAAAACTGTTACACGGATGGCTCGCAACACGCTCTTGCACTAATTAGAGGGCTATGAGAAAAACAAAATTATTTACCAGAAGTGTTACATATCTACTACCTCTAATATATAGAAGAGACCAACAATCTAATCGTTGGAATTCCGATGGGACTGTATTTTAATATTAAATAAAGGTTAAGTTCATGGATGTTAAGCCTTCAGTTCAACTCATCTTTAGTATCTGAGAAAGATAAGATATAATATATAGAAGAAAGATAGAGGGAAGAAGAATGTAGTAGAGTTCTATATCCAGGCTTCCCAGACCATGTTTTACTTTTTTTACAGATACCCCCAATCTGTAGATCCGAAGATTTCATTATGTTCTGGTCCCAACAAAGATTAAAGACTCGACGTAAAGCTTTGTAGCATGAACCGCTTTTGACTTGATTACCTTAACCCTCAATAGCCTGACTTTTTCTTTTTCAATGAAAAAATTTTATATGATGTATTTTAGGACCCTTAACAATGTTTGTTCTACGACTTTTCACAATTTTGAGTTTTGGACATTTTAGGGGAGGTTTTGTGTGTTGGTTCTTTGAAGAACCACCAGGCACTCCTTTGACAAGTAAAATGCATATGGTCTATATATGATTTTTTTTTTCGTTTAAATTATATATATTTCAGTTCATTTATTCAATGTTTTGTATGATATTCTAGAAAGCAGTTTTTTGTTGATTGGAAACATAATTCTACCTCACATTTAATGCAATACACTGTTGTTCTAGATGTGCAATTGGGCATTTTACAGCGAGGTTTGCCTGTTGTTAGGTATTTCGGGAAGTGCCCAACATTATCAAACCGCACGTCACTAGGCGGCATTACTACCCGAACTCGTTTTGGCACATTTTCAGGGGTCTCACATTCTCCAGTGCTTCTTGGACGTCCTTTCCTTATAGATTGTGTGCCAGATTTGACTAAAACTTTGCTGACGTCTACGATAAATTCGTGCAAAGTCAGCATGTTATTTGTACGAGGAGATGAAGAGAATTGGCGTTTATATAAAATCCATGCATTTATCATGGCCATGTCCATCATATGGTATATAAGACGATTTGTCCATTTGCGTGACTTTATTCTTATATCGTCACACATCAAAAATAACTTATTGCCCCACGGGTGAGGCTTGTCTGGCAAGTATTGTTTCAAATAGTGCTTAATTTTTGTGGCACAAATTTGTTTATCCACACACAAACGACTTCTTTTTGGAACAGAGTCAAAGTTTCTATTTAAAGCATCAATAAGCGGACGAATTTTATATAAACGATCAATGTTTGAGGAATCAGTGTTTTGTGGACGCAATCCTCGTCGACGTGAAGGAGCTGGTTCTTGAGCTGACGGACGTGGCATCTTACTGTTGTCATTTAGATGCAAAAACTGGCGTACCTTGTCATATCGATTTCTCGTCATGGTATTCATAATAGCCGGTATGCCAAATTCACCCCAATATGTCCTGATACTTGGGTATTTGAAGACGGACATAAAATATGTAATGCCAAAAAAGCGTTTTATTTCGTCTGGCGTTGTATTTAGAGGTTTCAATGAATCCTTTTGAATTGCGTACAAATTGCTTTGGCCTACAATATTAGAAATTATATCGTCATTTACAAAGTAAGAAAAAAATTTGAAAGGTGTATCTAGTGCCATTATGTCTGTTGTCAATTCAGAATCGCTGCCAAACTGAACCCAACTAGCATGATTCTGCATATGGTTTTTCTTCCAGATACATTTTTTAAACTCGGAAGAGTCCTTGTCAATTGTGATATCTTTGTAAAATGTTGCAATTTGATGCCAGCGTGTGCTATCTCCAGTAACAACTATATCTTCATTTTGAACACTCTCAACAGCAGTTGGTTCCACACTCACAACTTGTTCAGCATCTAATTCGTTCCCATTTTCGAACACACCATCTTCCAACTGATCAGTGATATTCGCATCATTATTTGTCACTATATTGAAATCGGGATCGTCTAGACTGTCGTCGTCATAATCTGATATATCGCCAATTTCACTTTCTGACCATTCAAAATCATTGACGAATGCTTCAAACTCTTCAGCCGTGGTAAAATCTTTGTATTTACGTGGCATTTTTCTATGAAAAATTAAAAATTACCACTAAAATAAGAAAAAGACGCTAAAGCACTAACGAATTTCACTTCTCTAATGAGTGCCTACTGGTTCTTTGAAGGACCAAAGGACTTTTACATGAAAAACACAAATAAAAAAAATTTATATTGTTAAAAAGATATTTACATGGCTTGAATATAGTGCACAAATAATAAAAATTAATTTTATTTGGTTCTTTTGGATCAAAAGTTTTGATTTCAATCAATTTGAAAAAGCACGATTTGTTCACTTTGAAGCTTTTGTGTGTTTTTCTGATAAACGTCAAAAATCAGCTGTTCAGCACCGAAAAGCATATGATTTTCTTTTCCGCTAGATGGCATACATTATAAAGAGAATATTTGCTGAATAAACATTGCGCAAAAAAGTAACATTTTTGAAAAACAAGTCTCTAAAGTTGAGGTTCCTGAAGGGACCACCAGGCTATTAAGCGCACTCCTAGAAAACAGTAATGGCCCGTTCCAGAACCTGCAAGAATGTACAATTTCTTCTACGATAACAATTTTTCCTTTATGATATCGGAAAAAATAGTCAAAAATAGTAGATTCTTGCAGTACGGGAACAGGCCATAAATTTCTATAAATTAGTTTATTTTACAGTATAAATTAAATTGAAAAAAGTTGATCCGATATTAGTTGTATGTACATGTTTTCAAAACTCTTTTTGAATTATTTCGACCTCTATTGTGATTTCAACGGACGGGTATAGCGAATGGTTTAATATGTCCAGACGTTAGAAATGGAATGACAAATTTAATATATTCATTAAATATATTGGAAATCAAATATGACAAAGGCTATGAGGTTTGGAACTTTTACCCATGATCTTAATATTTATCTTGATCATAATCAAATCAATTTTGTAAGCTCTCATAAAATGTTGGGTATTTATATTGACGATAAACTTACATTTGAAAGCCACATTGATTTTGTTCAGAGAAAAGTGTTTGGTGTTATTCGTAAATTGTACTCTACTAATTTATTTCTACCATGGTATGTTAAAAAGAGGTTGTTTATTATGGTCTGGAGGTTACATCTGGCACTACTGATCGGAATTTATCGAGAGTTAAGCGTATTGTAAATTCTATTGTCCGTTATGTTTATGGTATTAGAAGTAGAGACCATATTTCGGGTTATGTTAAAAATTTCCTGGCAGTTGACTTTGATGTTTTTATTTCCTCCAGGATTTTATGTACTTTTTATAAGATAGTTAAGAGTGGTATTCCTGTTATATTAGCTAATATGTTCAGATTTTGTATGTCCTCGAGGAATACACAGATTTTTATACCCAGAATTTATAATAGCATATTTGAAAAGTCATTTTTAATACGCGTTGCAAGATTATGGAACTTTTTACCAGTTGAATTGAGACAATTTTCTCAATCCAACAATGCATTTCGATTGAAACTTTTGAGTTACTTTTGTTGACTGTGAGATGTTACAATTTTTATTTGCTTTTTACCCTATTTTCATTTTCATAATCAAATGTGTTTTATCTGATACTATACTTTTAATATATTATCGCATGAGATGTTCTGCACTTTCAATGTTTTTGATTTGCTCAATTTGTATTTAGTTGTTTAACACGGTCATCACTTACTATTTTCTTTATACCCTTCACCACACTGTGGTACAGGGTATTATGTCTTTGTGCATATGTTTGTAACAGGCAAAAGTAATCGAGATAGACCCATGGTTCCTTTTGAATATGTCGATTTATGCATGTCCGTCCGTCTATCCATGTTAAATTGTAAACAATATGATCCGAATTGGATGAAATTTGCCACAGCTCACTTGTTTGGCCCAAGGACGAACCCTATTGAAATTGGGAAAAATCAGTCCAGATTTAGATATAGCTCCCATATATATTTTCGTCCGATTTAAGGTAAATAGGGTACCAAAGCCCCTAAATATTATTCGATTAGCACTTAATTTGGTATAACCTACTGAATTAGGTCTAGAATGGTGTGTGCCAAGTTTCGTGAAAATCGGTTCAGATTTAGATATAGCTCCCATATATAGTTTCGCCCGATTTTAGGTAAATGATGCAATCAAATTTTTGGTTGATGCGCGCAAAAGTTATCGATGTTCTAATTTTGGGCATAAGAAAAAAATCTTAAAATTATGCCGTTTATTATATTGAACAAAAACTTTGATATATATCTTCCTTCGTAAAATTAGAATGTGAATATATTATAATAATCGCGAAAAAGTTGCACATCTTCGCGAAATATGAGAAAAATAATAAAAATATAGGAGATTACGTCAATATTTTCATTATATTAATGACATACACACACCTAAAAATTAATTGAAAAATATCTACATAATCTAAACACCATGATGAATCAAATGATATCAAAATCACACAAGTCCGTGTAGCGGTTTGTAAATCACAGCGACAACAAAACAAGATATTGAGGAAAAATATTTGTTTTTGGTTCGAAAAAATAATGTCATCATATTTATTTTTTTTTAATTTTATATAAGAAATTTCAGAAAAAAATTTTGGAGTTATTCTGCTATTTTACCCGAATTTCGCCGAGTAATTGACATATATAATAATAATCACTTTTTGTGTATAAGTATACGCCTTGCGGATTATATCAAGACCCTTCCGATAAATCTTAGAATTCTATAAATAGGAATAAATCTTAAAATAAAATAATATTATGAAATATACATTTTAAATTGCGTCTAAATGGCGTAATTCTCAAAATCATCTGATGCGCATGCGGTTTCCAGGAAGTACTGAACTTTATCTTCCAATCCATATATATTTTGCGAAATTTCATTTGACGGCTAAGATGTGCCACACGTTACATTGAAGTACCCAAAAAATCGTAAAACGCGAATAATTTCCGAAAACTCCATATGGCATTAACGCGCATCCGATTTCGGTGTGCACCCTAAAAAAATACATCGATCTATACCGATTTCAATGTGGTCCATTAAGAACCATGGATGTGCCAACTCACATTATTTTTGAGATAAATTGGGTACATCTCTCTTTCGGCTGAAGTTTTTAAAGTTCTCTTTTCGAAAAAGATAAAAATCCGTATAAGGTTATTAATTGAAGCGGAAATGGTCCACAGAAAACGCAAATAAATCCGCGATATTTTCAAAAACATTTTTTGCCAAATTTCGTGTTTTTGGAAGGCCAGTTCCCGCCGTTCTAGTAGATGGATTTTCACGAAGAAGATTTTATATCATCCGAAACGTAAAAAACCTTATTGATCGCGGGTACCCATATCATTCAGTTGACAGATCTAAAAATTTGGCCCGAAAAATAGGTTTTTTAGAAATTTGATCGCACAAAATTTTCACCATCAGATGAGTATTACTCTGAAGCTGTGCATACTACATATACAAAATACATATCAAATTACGCAGATTCGCGACTACAATAATCTTATAATCGATTTTTAGAAATTCCTGTTTGCGTATTAAAGCTAGAAGTGAAATTAAAAAAACACTCAAAATCGAGCTTCAAATTGTCAGCATCATTTAAAGGTAGATACAGTTAAATTTTTGAAAAATGATACATAAGTGGCGTAGTCCCCATTTTATTGACTTCTAGTTTTACTTTGACACTAAGACCGTGAAATGAGTGGCTTAGTCAGAAATCGATAGAGAACATAAAAAAACTGGTTCGCCTCAAACTGTTTTTACACATTTTTTTACATTAAAGTAGACACAGCTTCCACCAAAAGAAAGTTTGGAGGTCAATATCATGAACAGTTTGCAACGACAGACCAATTAACCCCAAATTGGTCACTTTCATTCATATACTTAAGTAATTCCCGAGTTATAAAGGGGTGAACCTCCGCTTCAGCTATGTTAAAAAATTGGTTAGTTTCGTCCGATTTCATGTAAATGGTGCACCAAAGTCCCTATATATCTTTCGATTTGCACGAAATTTGGCATAACGTACTGAACTGAGCCTAGAATGATGTCTGGCAAGTTTCGTGAAAATCAGTTGAGATTTAGTACAAAATTGAGCATAGAATAACGTAGTTGCGTTTTCTAGAAGTACAGACATAGCCCAACGGATGACCTATTGATATTTCAAACAAATATCGATTTACATACATTTGTCACATTGTAACAAACGAATGATATGTTTATGTATAGATCTAGATCGATTCACATTTAGATAAATATCACATATTTTATTTGTTCCAATTTCATGTTAATAGTGCTGTTTAATATGCCCATAGTGGTGAAGGGTATCATATAGTAGGTCCCGTCCGACTTTACTACTTTCCTTACTGGTTTTAGTTATGGCTGGGGAGCCAAATGTATATACACCCAAGTCTGTTTTTACACGGTCTTTTTGTACACGGTTTTGATATAACACGGTTTGAAAATTGAATATTTTAATTTTTTTACACGATTTTATTCCATTTAGCACGATTTGAAATTTTATGTACTTAAAATTTTTTGTCAAATTAATTTTTGCGAAGTATGTTCATATCACAAAAAAGTATTTATGAAAGAAAAAAGTCTGAAACCATCGATAGTATCGATAGTTTGCGAACACTAGCTTAAAGATTTAAGTGAATCCCCCTTTAGCGCTTACAAACAATTTTTACTGGTCAAAGGAAATGTGAATAGCACTAATTTAGGGGAATTGCCTTTTTTACACGGTTTTTTTACACGGCTTCTTCTGGAACCAATCTACCGTGTAAAAACAGACTTAGGTGTATACATAAATACTTTAATTATTACTTTATTTTCAGTTTTTAGTTCTACTTAGATGATATAAGATATATTGTTAACACTATTTATTGGCCTTGGAGGCTTTAGTGTTAAGGAATGAAATTAAATAAATAAAATAAATATAGAGATCGAAAGATTTCAAGCAGAGTAAAACCTAAAAATACCGCACAATTCTTTCATTAGTGAAACTAGAAAACAAAATTAAATCGAATTACTATTTAGATATATTCAGATCTAGTTAAA